CTGGGAGCGCGCTCGACACCGAGGCGGTGCCAGGCCGTGCCGTGCCGTGCCACCGTACGGTGCCTGCTCGCCTTCGGCCTGGCCTGGCCTGGCTTGGTAGGCCTGTCCCGGGTGCCGCAATGCGATCCTCAGCGTTCTGGCTGCACGCACGCACAGCCTTGCCTTGCCTTGCCTGCCCTGCCCCAGGCCAGGCCAGGCTTGCTCACCCCGGCCCGCCACGACACGCCCCCAGCCTAGCCCGCCTGTGGCCTGCCCCGCCTGCCCATGCACACCAAGTTGCCTCTGGCAACTCTACCTTCCTCCGTCTCCACCTCTTGCCTCCTCGCGATCCTCCTCCTCGTCGACGAACCAAATCCGCAACGCGCACGACCTGCCTCCACCCTTCGCTTTGATACGCCCCATTCCCGCCGCCCCTCTATCACGACACCTCGCACGCGCCACAGCTACCGCCCACCATGTCTGCCCAGAACGAGAGCCGATACGACCCTTACATCCCCGCTGGCAACTCCAGCTCCAACCCCTCGGGCGGCGATGCCAACTTTAGCAACTCGAAGACGGCTCGGATCCACTCCGAGATTGACAACACCATCTCCATTATGCGCGACAATATCAACAAGGGTGAGCCCGCCGCCGCACCAAGGCCATGGCACCTTCCGATCCCGCCTCCAGCTCGCATCGCACGCTGACAGTCGGTTCCCGTTGCATCTCGCTCCGCCCTTCTTCTCTGCTCCCTCTCCAGTCAATGAGCGCGGAGAGAACCTAAACAGCCTGCAGGACAAGACGGGTATGTGCACGTCAAAGAGCCCCTGAAGCTGCCCTCTTGCCCACCGCCAGCGGCATTGCGAGCCGGCCTTGCCGCGATGCGTTCCTTGGACGTCGCTTTGCACAGGCAGACCAACCGAACGCATCCCCTGTCTCATGCAGGGCCGACCTGTACTGTGCGCCGGCACGGCGGGCGGCCAACCTCAGAGCCTCGCTGCGATGACTTACTGACGCTCAGTCGTGCTCGTCGACCATCGACCTCGCGCCCCTGATCCGCGAAACCGTGCAGACAACCTCGCCGTCTCGGCGCAAGGATTCCGACGCGGCGCCAACCGAGTGAGGAAGCAGATGTGGTGGAAGGACATGAAGATGCGAAGTGAGTGGCTCTGCTCTGTGCTCTCGCCAGCACCCTGGACCGGTGTCGGCCAACGGCAGCAGCTCACGCCACGCCCCGTCATCCCTCGTGTTCCGCTCTTGACCTTCTGTTTCTTGCAGTCATCATCATCGGTAAGCAGAAGATCCGTGGCTCTGCCTGCCTTGCGATCTCGACGACCCTCTCGACTGATGTGCCATCATCGACCCTGCTCCTGTGCTCTGGTCGATCCACCTGGCCGCTTCAGTCGGCATCATCATCCTGCTTTGCGTCATCATCAGTGAGTACGATTCCGCTGAAGCGATGACCTGGTGGCATGGCTGACCGGCTGTCTCCCTACTTGGCGTTTTTGCCTTTGTCCTCGCCCTAGTCCCCATCGTCGTCAAGACGACTTGAAAGATGGGCGATTCGAGAGCATGTCGCCGTCTCTTCCTGTCTACGCTGTTCACGCACCTCATGCCCGGGCACCGCTGCCCTACCTCTTCCTGCCGACCTGGCCGGCCCGTCCTCGCCTTTTAGGGGCCGTCCTGTACATATACCTATCTGTCTGAGCCGTGGCACCTCGAACCTGTCCCGTCGTCATGGCCCGTGTGTTGCTTCGTCCTCGTCCGAGGCAGTCCCCTGGAAGTGCGCAGGTGCCCGCCCGATCGAGCCGCCGTGCGACTTGCCCTCGGAACCTAGTCGGCTCCGATTCACGCTGTGAACGTCGTCTGAAGCGATGACACCCTAGCCTGTGTCGGGGAATCTTGAATGCGTTGTCCCGCCTCGGCATGGCCAGGCTTTGGTATGGGTGCGGCACGCTCTGAGGGGTGAACGAGGTGGATGACAGCCCGGTCCCGCCTGGCCATCGGCGCCCTTGTTTGGTTGCCCGATTTGCGTGCGCCCAGGCGAGATGTGAGATGTGGAGCCACCCAGCGCTGATTGCAGGCGGGCCGGGAAGAACGCACGATTACGAATCAAGGATCAGGGACCAAGCCGCGCCTGCCAAAAAGGTCCAGGCAGGCAGGCAGGCAGGCAGGCGGTTCAGCCAGCCTAAGGCAAGCCTTGCTTGTGCCTCCGCCGCTGCGTGTCACACAGCCTTGCTTTCATCCCGAACTCGCCATCGGCCTCCCCTCGTTATCCTCCCCATTCTCGTCCTCCCCATTCTCGTCACCCTCCTCAACGCCTCGACTCCTGATAATTCTGACCTCCTATCGGTCCTTGATCTGGTCGACAGCTCGAGTACCACAAGCTCGTCCCCGCTCCCCGTCACCCTCGATTGGACCTTGTCACCCACCCGTTCAGCATGCTCGCCGCTCCTGGTCGCGCGGCTCTGGTCCGCGCCCGGGCGCAGAGCTCGCATCTCGTATCCGCGCATCAAACTGTTACATCTTCGGTCTCGATCGCCAGCCGACACCTGGCCACCGAGGCAGCCGCGACGACTTCCTCCAGTGGCAGAAAGAAGGGCCCCACGGCTGTCCTTCTCATGAACATGGGTGGCCCCTCGACGTCGACAAAGGAAGAGGTCGGTGACTTTCTCTCTCGCCTGTTTCACGACCGCGAGCTGATCCAGCTGCCGTTCCAGTCTCGGTTGGCGCCTCTCATCGCCCGACGGAGGACGCCCAAGATCGTGGACCAGTATGACAAGATCGGAGGTGGCTCCCCCATCCTGAGGTGGACCAACACCCAGGGCAAGGCCATGACCGACCTGCTCGATCAGCTCCACCCCGAGACCGCGCCGCACAAGCACTACGTCGCCTTCCGCTACGCGAGGCCCTTGACTGAAGAGGCCCTCGATCAGATGGCAGAGGATGGTGTCACACGGGCCGTGGGCTTCACCCAGTACCCGCAGTACAGCTGCAGCACCACCGGAAGCAACCTCAACGAGCTGTACCGCGAGATCCAAAGGCGCAAGGCCCGCGGTGCGCCCGAAGGCGACATCCAGTGGTCGTTGATCGACCGGTGGCCCACTCATCCGCTCCTCATCGAGGCTTTCACCAACCGCGTCAAGGCAGCGCTGGACGAGTACCCCGAGGAGATCCGCGCCAAGGTCCCTATCATGTTTAGCGCCCACTCCCTGCCGATGCAGATTGTCTCGGACCGCGGGGACCCTTACCCTGCCGAGGTGGCGGCCACGGTGCACGGCGTCATGGACAAGCTGGGCTGGAGCAACCCGTACCGCGTCACCTGGCAGAGCCAGGTGGGGCCGGCCGCCTGGCTTGGTCCGCAGACCAGCGACACGGTCAAGGGCTGGGCAAAGCAGGGTCACAAGGATGCCGTCGTCGTGCCGATTGCCTTTACCAGCGACCACATCGAGACGCTGTTTGAGCTGGACCAGGAACTGCACGAAGAGGCCGAAGAGGTGAGTCGCCGCCGTCGTCCGCCGACGCACGCAGGTGTCGGCTGCCGCCGCCTTGGCCGTCGCTGCTGCCGTTTGCTGACCTTGACCTCTGCCACTTGTCGCTCCTCTGCCTTTGCTTGCTCGTTGACAGCATGGTCTGAGGCTCAAGCGAGCCGAGTCGCTCAACGACGAGCCCACCTTTATCCGAGCCATGGCCGAGGCGGTGACGTCGCATCTCTCCGCGCTCGAGGGCACGGGTCGCAAGATCGAGGGCGACAAGCCGGGAGCTTCGGTGTGGAACCAGGGCTACACGAGCAAGCAGATGCTGCTGCGCTGCCCGGGCTGCGTCAACCCGGTATGCCAGGAGCAAAAGAGCTTCTTCGGCCGTGTGTCGCCTTGAGCCCTGAAGCCGGCGCGGCAGAGCGGCACGACGGTCCGTCGTATGCGGCGCTCTCGGTGGGGCATGTCGCGCTGCTGGGTGAAGGGGCGAGTACGAGGACGGTCGCTTTGAATAGAAGTACAAAATGAACGGGTGCTGAACAGGACACGGGAGAGAGAGAGAGGAGGGAGAGGAGGGAGAGGAGGGAGAGGGAGAGAGGGATATCACCTCGAGGAGCCTTTAGACGAGAGCCGGCGACGGCGGGCACAAAAGACCGAGAGCGGGCACGGGTGTCATGAAAGGGGAACGGGTCATGGCGTGGCACAGAGCCTTGTGCGTTTGTCCTGCGCTCGCCCTAGACAGAGTCGTCGTGATACACGAAGCGGCTGTCCTTGGGCGACTTGGGCGCTCTCTTGCAATAGCTTTCGTTGTCCGGAGGCACTTCGAGCTTCTGCGGGCAGACAGAGTGTCGGCGAAAAAGATTGGGCGTCAGCGTGGAAAGTGGTGATGGTGGCGAGGGCGACTCTTGTGCGACAAGGAGCGCTCACCTTGCAGCTGGCCAGCATGCTCTGGAGGGTGAGGAGGACGGAGCTGACGTTGAGGACGGGTGACCACTCGTTGCCGAGGATTGAGGCGCAGATGTGGCCGTTGCTGTAGATGTGCGGGTGGACGGGGGCCTTGTAGCCGTCTGTGGTGATGAAGACGACTTCTGGGCTCTCGAGCGGGTACTGGTCCGAGAAACGGAAGCGGAGGGCGAAGACCTGGTCGTGGTAGAGGCTGTCGCCGAGGACGCGGAGAGAAAACTTCCACTCTTGCAGGTCGTCGTCCTGAATGATTTCGACGCCGGTGGGGGTGCCCTTTGTACGAAGCTCTGCGAGCTCCTTGCCGAGGCGCTTGGAGGCGATCCTCATCTCGGTAAAGGGTCGTTTGGGGACTGTCGGATGGCAGGAGCTGAGAGAGGGTGCGACAACCAGCGGTGTGGGAGATGCGAAGCTGGGGGTCGGTGAAGGCGATGCGCCCTTGGCAAGGGACCAGCTTGGGAATGGAGAAGCGAAGCGGGCGCCGGGTCCCGCGCTGGACACAGAGGAGACGGTGGCGGTAGTAGTAGTAGAGCCTTGTATGCGGCTGTTGGGGAAGGGATGAGGGAACGTGCGTGATCGAAGGTGGTGGTACCGTAGGTAGCTCGCAGGAGCCGCTCCACTGGTCCCAGCTCTGCGTTTCAGAGAGGAGGGGACGAGGCGAGGAGGCGCCCAGCGGGGTCCAAGCGCAGCCCCGGCTGGCTCCACTTTAGAACAAGTTGAGATTTCCCTCAGCCAGCCAAAGTCACAACAGCCAACCAGGCAGACAGACGGACCGCCAGACAGACGGCCAGCCTCGCTCCTTGACCACCTCCTACCACCTTCAACCACCTACATAACCCTGCGCCGGCCCATCCTCGCCACACGGGCAACCGTCACACACCAGGCATCCCTGCAACAGCCTCGCACGTCAACATCACACCTACCTTCCGCATCGCCTTTCGCGCCCCTCCTTGCTCTCCTCGACAGTCGCCCACCCCACCAACCAGCCGCCGCGCCAACGGCTTCCCCTTGGGCAAGCCCAGCGTCCCAGCAATCGCCGCAAAGACCCGCCAGCCGTGCCCAGCTCGCACCCTCCGAGAGACCCAACGTCGCTCGCTCTCGCATGTCGCAGTAAGTCAGCCCTTGCCGCCTCTGCGCGCCCCCGCTCGCTCCAACACCTACCTCTCGCTTCTGACCCGGCCTGCGTCGCCAACCCCCCCTTCGGACCTCTGCACCCCTCTGATACACTAGTCCGCCTCCATCGGGGCCACCGCCCGGCACCATAAACATTGTCCCCATCCCTCTCGGTCTCTTTTCCGCTGCGATGAACTCGACTTCGGCCCCGGGCCCCAGCGCAGGCGTCGTTGGCGCTCCCGTCGGCGCCGACTTCCAAGCCCTCTTCGGCGCTCTGCCGTCCAGCCAGCCCGCAGCGTCATCTCCGCGCTCGAGGAAACCGGACGAGACCTCTTCGCAAGCTCAAAAGAAGCGCAAGGAGGAAGATGAGGCCAAGCTGGCCCAGATCTACGAAAAGTTCGAGTTCGACCCGCTGTGGGCGCGCCTCAGCGAGGCCCTAAGCCGCCTCAAGGGCGATCCCAACGCCGCACAGATCCTTTTGCCCCTGATCGAGGTGAGTCGCAGTGCTCGCCAGCCACCGAGCTGCCGGTCCCGCCCTCATTCATCCTCACCCGCTCACCCTCGCCCGCCCACTTGCCTCCCATCTCGCCCTACCCAGAGCATGATGGTGGTCTCGCAACACGTCGCCAACCCTGACCCGTCCTCCCCAGGATCACCGCCCCCGGCGAGCAATCCACCCCTTTCCAGGAGCCACAGCGGTTCTCAGCAGGGCGCTGAGCGTACGCCAAAGGAGATCATGGAGGCCAACTTCTTCGCCTTTACCGAAAAGCACCGCAAGATCCTCAACGTCATGGTGCGGCAGAACCCTTCGCTGATGTCTGGCTCGTTCGCGCTGCTCGTCCGCAACTCCAAGGTCCTCGACTTTGACAACAAGAAAAACTACTTTACGCAGCAGCTCCACAAGGGCCGCAGGGAGCACTACACGCCTCTCTCGCTCTCCGTGAGGCGGCAGTACGTCTTCGAGGACAGCTTCCAGTACCTCAACCGTCGCAAGGGGCCCGAGGTCAAGCACGGCAAGCTCAATGTCCGCTTCTACAACGAGGAGGGCATCGATGCCGGCGGCGTCACTCGAGAGTGGTTCCAGGTCCTGGCCAGGGCCATGTTCAACCCAGACTATGCCCTCTTCCAGCCCTGCGCGGCGGACCGCACCACGTACCAGCCTAACCGGATGAGCTCGGTCAACGAGCACCACCTGTCGTTCTTCAAATTCGTCGGGCGGGTCATCGGCAAAGCCATCTACGACAACCGCCTGCTCGACGCCTACTTCACCCGCAGCTTCTACAAGCACATCCTCGGCAAGTCGGTCGACTACCGCGACCTCGAGTCGATTGATCCAGAGTACTTCAAAAGCCTCCAGTGGATGCTCGACAACGACATCACCGATGTGCTCGACCTGACCTTCAGCGTCGACGCCGAGGAGTTTGGAGAGACCAAGATCATCGAGCTCAAGCCGGACGGGGCCAACATTCCCGTGACCGAGGCAAACAAGGTCGAGTATGTCCGGCTCGTCACCGAGCAGCGCCTGACCCAGTCGATCCGCTCCCAGATCGACGCGTTCCTCGAGGGCTTCAACGACATTATCCCGGCCGACCTGATCCGTATCTTTTCCGAGCAGGAGCTGGAGCTACTCATCTCTGGGCTCCCCGACATTGACGTCGACGCTTGGAAGAACAACACCGAGCTGCACGGCTACTCTTCCGGCGATGCCGTCATCCAGTGGTGGTGGAGGGCGGTGCGTTCATTTGACCAGACGGAAAAGGCCAAGCTGCTGCAGTTCATTACGGGCACCAGCAAGGTGCCGCTCGAGGGTTTCGGTCACTTGCAAGGCGTCCAGGGAACGCAGCGATTCAACATCCACAAGGCCTACGGCTCCGACCGCCTGCCGGCCGCCCACACCTGGTGAGTCAGATGCACCCGCACGATTCCGCTAGGCTGTCCGCGTCATCAGTCGAAGGCACCGCCCGCTGACCTCTTTGACCGAGAACCCCCCATCTGCCGCGTCGACAGCTTCAACCAACTCGACCTCCCTCAATACGAGTCCTACGAGAAGCTGCGTTCCTCGCTGCTCATCGCCATGAACGAGGGCGGAGAGGGCTTTGGATTCGCCTAGGCACCATGGCTGCCGCGTCGTCAAAGCGTGAACGTCCCCATCACCGCCTCTGTCCAGCCCGCCATGGTCCCTACCGCCATGGGCGCGGCCCCAGCGTCCTAGAATAGCGCCCCTCCACAACACTTGTATTCTATCGCAAATCGCAGCTCCGGCACCCGACCCACGACAGCTTGCAGCACATCCTCGAACGAATGTGCCGAATGCCTACAACTTTGCTCGGCGTCAAGGCCATCACAGCTCGGATCTGGCACTGGCGTCGTTGCGCCTGACCTCCCTTTCGGCAAAGGACACGAGGCTCTTCATGATGGACACGGCGCCTCCACGGTACGAGCCGCCGAACATGAGCGCGTCTGGCGCACGTTGGCGGCGATGATGCAAGTGGCACGACGTGAATCAAGCGTCAGCATTGCGGCGTGCCGCCACGGTCTCCGACTTGCACGAATGGCCCGCCCGAACTCACGATTAAGGCTGAATCGTGTTCGACAAGGTCGCGGGTAGGGCGAAGGTGTCGGTGAGCTGCCTTGGGCTTTTGCGCGGTGAACGTCGGCGACCACTCACTGGTGGTAGAGCTCGTACAGCTTGATCCTTTCGTCGTAGTATGGCTGGCACCTGGGCAACACAGCATGGTAGGCCTCAAAAAAGTCATTTGTGAATCCGCCGAACATGTGCATGATGCCGAGTCTGCGATTGCACACGGGGATGGGAGGCGAGAGGTCAATTCAGGGAGATAAAACGGGACCGGGGGGGGGGGGGGGGGGGGGAGGGACGGCGAGACGTCTCGTCACCCACTCTCGCCGTCGTTGTTGGCCGGTAGTAGCTCGATGGACGTGGGCGAAAGAGATAGAG